TCCCTCCTCTGCCGATCTGGTCACCCCTAACTGCCCTTTCCTGCAGGGTTGATCACCTCCAACTGCCCTCCCTTGCAGACCTGATGCCTTCTAACTGCCCTCCCCTGCTGGCCATCTAGTGTCCACATTGGGGAAGGATATTTGATCACATGGGGACAGCCATCTTGTGTGTTGGAGTGATGATCAATCTGCATATTACTCTTTTATTAGATAGGATTCCTTTATTTGATTGTGTGCAACAATCAACTCAATATCCTTGGTTTTTGTGTCCAAATGTTGAATCCCATTTAGAGGCCAGCCTCATATATCTACTTAGAGATTGGGGGTTCCCTCAGTACACATAATATACTCTCTCTTTCTCTCAGGTCTCCTCCCCGCCACACACATATGTACATATTCACTATTCACAGTAGTGTCCTCACCGCAACATTTGGTGAAGGGCTGGTCCTGCTCTCAGTGACCTTCTATCAGAGATAATAGATGGAATGAGTATGACCTCTCCAATCATGTAGGGACAGTAGTTAAACTCAAAGTTCAAAATTACATATATATATATATATATATACACACACACACACACACACACACACACATAATATGCTAAGTGTCTGACCATCTGATGGGTCATTATGATGCGCACTGACCACCAGGGGATAGACACTTAATACAGGAGCTATAGTGTTACGCACAGAGAAATGGCACCATGGACCTGCTGCCCAAAAGGCAACACTCAGCTTCCCCCATGTGGGACACAGCCTACCACCCCCCACCCCCCACCCTGAGCAACAGTCTACTACATTGCAGCTAAAACTGCCAAGAGCCCAAGGAACAAAATGTGGCCCACAGCTCAGCTCAACCCCTAAATGGTCGCTGTGGGTGCCAGGCAATGATGTCATATAGCAATGCCTGGCTTTGTCTCCCTAGTGATGTCTAGCCTCCTTCTAGTTGCTTCAGCCCAGGAACATGACTTCTTTGTAGTGGGTGCAAACATTTCACACTTTATCCAAATGTCTGTGAAGCATTTTTTTGAGTCTCATACCATTTGATCCTCAGAGAAGTCCTAGAGTAGGTAGATAGGAGACTCAGTGGAATTCTATTTTCTTTTCATTAGCTGGAAAATGGAGATTTAGAAAGTTTAGAAACTTTGCCTGTCTGAAAGAAGTAAGAAATGGTGGACTTTGAAAATGATTTCAGGTTTTCTCGCTGTGCAGAATATAGTCAAATGCTGTTGCAGTTAAATATTTTACCCATGTTCTTGTGCAAACCTATACAATAAAGAGGTAATATGCAAATTTACCATCATTCCAACACACAAGATGGCTGCCACCATGTAGTCAAATATGGCCACTCCCATGTGGACACAAGATGGATGGTAGGGGAGGGCAGTTGTGAGCAATCAGGCCAGCAGGGGAGGGCATTTGGGAGGAACCAAGCCTGAAAGGGAGGGCAGTTGGAGATGACCAGGCCTGCAGGGGAGGGCATTTGGAAACAACCAGGCCAGGAGGGGAACAGTTAGGCATTGATCAGGCTGGCTGGGGAGTGGTTAGGGGATGATCAGACTGGCAGGTAGAAATGGTTAGGGGCAATCAGGCAGGCAGGCAGGCAAGTGGTCCGGAGCCAGGATTGTGAGAGGGATGTCTGACATTCCTTGAGGGGTCCCTGATTGCAGAGGGTGCAGGTTGGGCTGAGGGATACCCCCTGCACGAATTTCATACACCAGGCCTCTAGTCTACAATGATCTGCTTTGTGTTGATATTTACTGCTGTGTTGCTGACAGTTACCTCAAAGAGAAGTTGTGGTGCTTCACTGGGCTGGGAAAAGTTTAAATTAGAAAGCAGGTCTATTTAAGCAAGTTTATTATGTATATATAAAAGGCTAGGTTGACTTGTGCATGCACGAAACATATGAAGCTCTTGCTGGCTCCAATAGCACACATGTGTTTCAAACTGTCATTGTCCATCGTGAATTTGGTTGACACTTGTATTATAAAGAAAGGGCAAATAGCAATATTAAAATATTTTTTCTAATTAATTGCCATTCAATGTGCATGAATTTTTGTACTGGGCCACTTGTGCTTTTTAAGAGTTCACAAGTTTGAACTAAATGGAAATGAACTTTGAAGGCTAAGCTCACAGCAATGTCTGCAAGACATGTCCTGCTCATGGGGCTTGTCTGTTTCTACAGGTCAAGCTTAAGGGTTACTAGAAGGAACTTTTACGAAGAATTGCCCAGTGCTGTGAACATTGCACTTTCATGAACTAATTCCACCTTCCTAAAACTTCATAAAGTAAACTAATCTGAAGAACAGTTCAATAATTTGCCATAATGCTTGCTCTGTGACTTTGGAGAAAAGCAGAATTTCCTTACATCATCATCAACAACCACACATTTGATTATTCCCACCTTGGACTCTCTTCTCCCTGGATATGGCATCACCATGGTTTATGGAGTCTCCTATAATGGACTGTTTTCTCTCTGTCTCCTTTCAAGGATTCCTGGCCCTTGTGAAAGACTTAAATCTGATCATTAGGAGTTTCAGAACGTTGATATTTATTTATGTGAAATGTGAAATCATCCAGGAGTCTGGCAGGAAGGGTGTAGACATGTGAGGGAGGAGCCTCTGGGAGAGGAAGACAAAGAGCAGGAAGGAGGTGCTGTCCTTTCCATGGAAAAGGCCCATCTCCAATGTGAGACTAGAGTGGGTAACCATTGCCCAGGTGCCTATTGAAAAGGCACGTTTTAGCTTTCTTTTCAGAGAGCCTGATGCAGAAAGGATGAGTGAGATGAGGGACTCTAATGAGTTCCATGTGATTCTGAAGCAAAGGATCCCCATGGCACTCTGAGCAAAGCTGCCACACCTGGCCCAGAGGAGGCAGTGTGGGGGCTGCAGGTGCGGGATGTGAGAGACTCCAGCAGGGATACCCTTGGCTCTGCTGACCTTGTTTCTTTCACCCAGGCTTTCACCACATCACAGATGACAACAAGCAGGATATCTTTGTAGTAGTTGAGTTGGGCAGGTTCTTTACTTGGACCTCAGGCCGTGTTGAACCCTTGACCCTCTTTGGACCCAGAAACACCCTCCTGGGGCTCAGCCCCAACAGACCCACAGGGAAACCTTCCACAGCCAGCTCCTCCTAGCACCTCCTTTTCTCCCTGCTGTGAACCACATTGGCCTTTTTTTCACAGGGAGGGCCACCTGTGTATTTGAGTACTAGGGTAAGAACATGTGTGTGTGTGTGTGTGTGTGTGTGTGTGTGTGTGTGTGTGTGTGTGTGGTGGTGGGAGAATAGGAGGGAAGAAGAGTGGAGACTGAGTCTTTCCAATGGAATGGCAGTAGGAATTCCACTACACAAGTGAGCAGGTGACTTTAGTGCCCTCAACGAGGCCCCATTTTGCACAGCTGAAATCCCAGGTGATTGCCTTTGTCATCCTCACCTGACCCACTGGACTCTGGTTCCATGGACAAAGGGCTGGGGTGAATTTGGAAAAGAGAGGGTTGGGGAAAAGGGACAGAATATAGAGAAACCAAGATTCTTTAGACTAACTCTTGCATGGTAATTTAATTTCTCCTGTTGGCAGCACAGGACACTCTATCCAACCTATAGGAGTGTGTGTTTGCTGGGGTTCTCATTGTACTCATCTAGTGAACAGGGCAGATTAGCTTTGCCTTTGCTCTGGAGCCTGGCTGTAGTTTCTGTGGGATAGAAGGGCCAGGAAGCATCAGGAAGGGTCAGGAATGTGGAGGGATGGACTGGGATGGAGCAGAAAGAGGTTAAGCAAGAGGATGACAGCAGTAGAGGGCAGGAGCCTAGGAAGTGTCTAAAGCAAATTAGGAGGATGAGAAAGGGAGATGACCTCTTGCCATTCTCTTTCTAGGAAGAGTGCAGGAACCCCTCAGGCAAGGTATTTACTAGGAGGGAACCTGAGGCTGTTGGGTAGGAAATGGCAAAGTTCAGAACCCAAATTGGAGGTTTCCAAATGACTCAGAAAACTGAGCTCTAATTCCTGATTTATACTTTGGTCATGGCTAATTTTCATTCATTCATTCATGCATTCATTTGTGAGTGCTTGAAGCAAACATTTATTGAAGGCTCATTGGGCAGAAGGCATTTTCTGAGTACTGGGATAGGGCAGTGAAACAAACAGAAATGCCTGTCTCCCTGGTGCTTCCATTCCAGTGACTTCTCACTCTCACTAGGTTACCTGGAGGACACTTAATATATCCTGGCAGAAGCAGGCAACCCCTAACATCCACTACGTGGTTAACTTTTTATAGATCTTGAAGATAGAGGCACAATTTCATGTATTACCAAACACTTTATATCTACACAAATAAAAGAGAAACATACAAATTGACCATACATCTGCTATACCCACCAGCCAATCAAAAATGAGTATGCAAATTGACCCAACAAATAGGGAGGGCTAAGTTGCATATGCAGGCATGAAGTGGATGGGTGGGGCAAGATGCCTATTATGAGAAGGAGGGTTGGGCTGAGGGAGCTAGAAGAGTAGTGCTTAGGCTAGGAGGGAAGACTTGCAGGCTCCCTGGGAACGCAGTGAAGGGAAGGAATGCCTATTCTTGCATGAATCTTCATGCAACAGATCTCTAGTATTCATATAATGGTCAGGAAAACCTCATTTTGAATTCCAGTGCTGGAATCTCTGACATTTTCATCTCTGGAGTCTAATCTATAATCCACATTATTTCCAACGTATCTCAGAAGTGAGCACCTCGTCAGTTCCTTCCTTTTCTTGTGACCCTTTCCCAGATCCTCTCCTTTTGTTCCTACATGTACCCCCCACCGCATTTCAGCAGAGACTCTCCATCTTTCTAGCCTTTTGTGGCACTTCCATCCCACAGCTCAAACATGCCATCTTCAGAGATGCTCTGGGGCAGCAGCTTGGAGGGAAGAGGAATTTTGCTCATATTGGAGGGAAAGGAATGTTCTAATCTGAGAATTGTCTCCGTTTCTGGTGGCATTAATGCCCGAGGGCAGATTTCAAGCAGCTGCAAGAGGAGGTTTCCCAGAAGGTAGAAGCGGCAGAGCTCTCCAAGGGCTTGCATGGTGTTGTGTTCTCCAACCTCCAGGCCATGCTAGGGGACTGCAAGGCTCTTCAAGACCTCATGGACAAGGTGAGGGGCCCGCTGCTCCCTAAGGCTGATCTGACTTGTAAATGGAACATGTTTCAGAGGTACAGTTACCAAGGCGTGTGGGGAAAGGAAAAAGGGGTAATGTTAGGGGGATGAGAAGGATGTCTGAGGTGGGGACTATGCCCCTGTGCCCAATGAGTAGGGCCAGGGAAGCCCTCAGACTGGGGGTACCTGGAGCCATTACCCCCACTCCTTGGTTAATCACTTGTAGATGCAGAATTTACAGGTGAAATCACTGATGTTATCACCATCATTAATAAGCCCTGTCTCCCATAGCTGGAACTGGAACCCTTCGGGCATTTGGATGGCCCTGGTGGCACCATCCTAACGGAACTACAAAAGGACTCCCGCTACCCAGGGGTTGGCTCAAAGTTCCTCCTCCTCTACCTGCTTGAAGCCTTAATGGGTAAGAGTGTTTTGGAGGAAGAATGGGGGAGTCACAAGAATGGGGCCCCAGAGCCCAAAAGGGCTGCATTAGGTGTCACCTCTCCAAACCCCTTGGCAGGTTATGATTTCCCCCCTCACCGTACAGGCCTCTCTGCGGTCAGGAGGGCTCTGTGTGATAAGCTTGCCCTGTGACAGAGCCGAGGCCCGCAAGGCCAGCCAGGTTCACGCAGCGGATCAGGGGGGCGGGGATGCCAGGGCCAGCCACCGAAGACCACCCTGGACCATGTTAGGGAGCTTCCTGGAGACCATCCCACGAGCACAAACAGAAGGAGAACTTCCCAGCGCAGGGAACTTGACCTTCACGCCAGCAAGTTTTATTCCTCTGCCTTAGAGTTCGCTTATAAAGGCCTCTGCGTTCACCATGGGGAGAGGAAAATCTGACTCTTTCCCCAAATGACCCTTGTCCCCAGTGCTGAGTGACATCCAACTGGGTCTGCTGGCTCAGTCCCTGGAGAAGAGGATCCTCCTCCCGCAGAGGGACCTGGTGAGCAGTTCCCAGGGGCTGGCGTTCTGGGAATAGAGTGAGGGAAGCGGGATGAGAATGGCTCTGAGAAAGGAGAGATGGGGCGTTGCTGCTGGGAGGGGAGGGGAGGTCCTGGCGTGGGCCTGGGAAATCGGGGCTGCATCTCTGTCTGGGAAACGGGCTCGGTGCGCATGAGTTTACCTGGGGATACAGGTTTGGGGATCTCAGGGCATCTGAGTTATATCCCTGCTGTACTCACATGGTTACCATTTGCAAATGCATGCTCTCTATCTGCATGCATCTATATGTAAGTACATATGTGTGTGTAGATATGTACATACACACAATGTACATGCAGGCATACATATAGAATTCCAAACCCCACTATTTGCTGAGTGTCAGCGTCACTATCCAGCAACTGAGGAGCCAGTGCTCAGTGATGCCCAATAACGCGCCCTTGACCACACTGACTGCAAGAATAGGAACAGGTTGCTACCCCAAAGCTCCCGCCCCCACAGTCACCCTGCATGACCCCTGGCTCTTGAGACAAGGTTCTCTCTTCCTGACCTCAGAGGCTGACCTGTAACATCTGATACTGTTTCTTTAAGGTGAGGAGCATCCTGGAGCCCAACTTCAACTGCTCCCAGAACACCCCCTTTACCCTCCAGCCCGAGCTCCTCGCCCCACTCCAGGGGGAGGGCTTGGATATCACCTATGGGCTGCTGGATGAGTGTGGCCTGCAGATGGAGCCGAACAGCCCCAGGTCAACCTGGGACCCAGAAGCCCAGGAGCCCCTGTCTGCCCTCTATGGGACTCTCTCCGTGCTGAGGCAGCTGGCTGAGGCCTGAGCCCTCCTGGGAGGAGGCCAGAGAGTCAGTCCAGTGAGGCTAGTCAGTCCTGGTCCTGCCCTTTGCTGCAGACACCCGTAAGCTGTTCTCTGTATCCGGGAGTCTATCTCTCTTCCATATATAAGGGATAAGTCTTTGTCTTTGTTTGATTTATTTGACCTGGCACAAGGCCTTCACATTTGTCCATGCTGTCACAAATAGCAGGAGACTGGCTGCTGAGTAGGAGGATGGGTTGGAAGGTGGGGGGCATGTGTGTATGTAGGGAGAACATTGAAGCAGTTTCTCTAATTGCTCGGGCACTCAGTGGTATTTTTTAAAAGGTAGGAGCTTGAAAAGTAGATATATTTAATTCTGCTTTGAATAGATCCCGGGAATACTTTGGGGATATATATGCAAACTCATAGGATCACATCTTCCTGCTTCCATCTATTGAATGACTGATTAGAACTATTATCTAATGAACTTATAATTTACACCAGAAGGTGGCAGCATTGCCACACAGCAGGACTTGGTGATGGCAGACACTTTCCTTGATTTGTTTTGGGACTTCTGAGTTAAAGGCTGGCCCCTCTCTCTGCTCTGCTCTCCCACCTCCCTCCCCTGCTTTTCCCTCCCCCTTTGCTGCCTCCCTACTGCATTTAACATGGCATAGGCTGGCAGAAATGGGGCTGGGGCAGTGGAAGTCAACACTAGCTTTTTATAGCTTCTAGAATCTTCCTTTTAATAAAAACACTGCAATGGTTGTATTGAATAATTCCCATAAAGAGCTCTGGGAGGTAAGACGTGAGTTATGGGGAACTTAGAGCTGTTTCCAGGGTTTTCAGAAACGTTTTTCCCAGAAACGCCAGCCCTTCTGCCGGGATTACTATGGGTTCTGTGGGAAATCTGTCGTCTCATGCTGAGCCCAGGCAGGAGCCAGGAAGAGATTGAATGTTGCTCAGTAAGCAGGGCACATAGTTTCTGAATGAATTCAGCCAAGCACTGGAACTGTTTCAAAATATTACAACCTTGGTCAACCCATCAGAAAGCAGGGCTGGTGCAAATGATATGGGTCTTATAATCTGATAGATAGAGCACCTGAATTAACCTGAAAAATAATCATATTATTTTAAATCTTAGAACACAAACACTTCTATGAATAGGGGGTTAAGTTTTTTCCTAAGTTTCCTTTCCAAGGCCTGTGGGAAGCAATGGAGGTGACTCAGCTGTCAACTCAGCAAGCAGAACTGATAAGCATGGTCAGACCAGTAGTCAAAATATCATCTCATCAACATCCTTTCCTTACCTGATGGCTAAGGACAGTAGGTGACCTCTGGGGACCCTCAGGCTGCTTATAGCTGTATTCCTTTCCCAGCCCCCTCTCTCCTCCCAACACTCTCCCCCCCCCCCCCCCCCGCCCTTCGCTGTAGAACCCTGTCCCCCTGTCCCCCGCTCATTGCTGTGAGAAAGGATTTGAATGCTTGTAAGCGCCCTCTCTTCTTGGTTGGCTGGCCTTCACAATAAATGTCTTCTGTGATTCGACCCTGCCTTCATTATTGGACACGGCGACAGGCAGCCTGAGGCCCTCCGGGGTTTCCTGGTAACAAAAATGTGGGGATTTGCTGTCTTAGGCCGTCCTCAGGAAGATTTGCCTCTGCACAGGTCTGGGCGTGGAGTCTGAGGTCACCACTGGCGACCTCTACCTGGACACCTCCATCCTCCCGGCTTCCTTTTTCTCGCTTTATTGGGTTGCTATTGAATCAAATTAAATAATGTCTCTGAAGAACCTACCCCAGTGGCCAACATGTAGGTGACACTCAACAAGCTGTTCTCCAGTGAACTGAACCCAGACAGCAGTGAGGGAGGCCTTGGAAGCCTGGGTGTCCCTGCTGTGTTCCCCCAGGCAGCCCCAGAAGCAGGGGGTGGGAGGAGGGGTCTGTAGTCTGGGATGTTGAAATCACTCCTCAATTTCTAGAAATTCCCAGGCAGGGAGCATGTCTAAGGGTGCTCCTCCCTCTGGTGGGGACCCTGGGCCCTGCTGGTCTGCCTGCTTCACAGCCTGCAGTAGAGCACCCATCATTAGTTTGTGTTGTTTTTAACCTCAGGGTCTTTGCATTTGAATACAGTTAGCCTTGGGTAATCTGAGATTGGCTTTAAATCCACCTTGCCCTAGTTGTCACAGAGGCGACCAGACAGTGGTTTGCTGCCATGACCCACCTTCTCCTTTCTGAGGAGGTGGGAGCCTCTGGGCTGACAGTCTCTAAGATCAGGGAGGAAGGGAGTGCATGAATGGAGTGTGGGTAAGCTGTGCCAGGCCTTCTTCCTTGGCCTTTTCAGGCCGGCAGTTGGCAGGAGAGTGCTCCCACCTGCCCCAGATGTCCTGGGAGCAGAGGCAGGAGCCCTCCAGGCAGCTTAAGTCAGAAAGGTACTGCAGGGGCACCCTGCCAAACTGGCCTTCAAGTGAATGTCTCTGGTGGCGTTGCTTCTAGGGGATGTCTAGACAGTCCCCACGTGGGCCCGGAGGCTTTCATTCCCCTAGGCTTGGCCTCTCAGGCTGTGTCCTTGTTGATTGTTTGTCCCCGGGATACAGTGAGGCCCTGTATTCCTTCTACAGGCAGTTCCCTCCCTCCCTCCCTCAATAGGAGGGACCAATCATGCAAGTATTAACAGCACTTTTGAGATAATTTCTTACAGTTCCTGCTTAATTAATTATGCTGGCCAATGGTTCTTTGTTAAAAACTCTCCTTTTTATTGGTTAAGCTATGCCCCTGTTTCTGGGTGTGAGTCTGTACAGGTGTCCCTAAGACACTGGGCACCAGCATGTCTTTCGATGAGGTGATCTGCACTGTTCACCGAGTGCACACAGATGCCAGGTGTTGGGGATACAGGAGTGAAACGTCTGTATTTCAATAACTGGCACCTCAAGAAAGGTGAAACCGATCACCTCAAAACCTGGCTTACACCAGCACGCATTTGGCTTATGTCACCCCGCTCCCGTGGGTCGGGAATTTGGGAGCGGCCTCAGTTGCGGGTGCAGGCGTGGGGCCCTCCTGTGACTGCCTCTGAGGCTCCCTGAGGCAGGTTTCCCATGTGGCTGTTGGCAGGAGGCCTTGGTTCCTTGCCCACAGGTGGCCCGAGTGTCCTCATGACATGGCAGGTGGCTTCCCTCAGAGTAGACGATGAGAGGGAACGGGAGAGGGAGCAGGAGTTGTTGCGAATGGTAAGAGTCCTTTCTTTTTTATGGCAGCATAGTATTCCATTGTGTAGATGTACCCTAGTTTCTTAATCCACTCATCTGCTGATGGGCACTTAGGCTGTTTCCAAATCTTAGCTATGGTGAATTGTGTTGCTATGAACCTAGGGGTGCATATGTTCTTTCTGATTAGTGTTACATCTTTGTTTTAATACATCTTCTGAGGTCATGGTTCCCTCAGAGTGCACAAGCAGGCCCTAATACCTACATATTCATTTCTTCATTCATTCATTCATTCATTCATTCATACAAAAATAGTTGTTGAGCCCACTACTTTCCAGGAATCCCAGCATTGAAACGTTCCTCTTTGTTTCTCTACTGGGCCTCTGGAAAGAGTAAAAGACTCTTGCATCTCCCTAAACAATGTGGAGGGCTGTTTCCTAGAGAAACCCACAGATGGAGGGAGGTAAGGGTGCACCCCACCCATTCACACACTGAGGGTGCCTTTGCACTGGATTCATGTGCATTCTGGGTCCCTTTTCATTCTGGAAATTCTTCTGCTTTGGTGGTGGTTGCCTAGCAACCAGAGCTTTGCGCTATTTGCACCAAGAGTGTTGGAGCAGAGCTGGTCAGTAACACTAAAAGCCACTGGATTTTCCAAGCGTCACAGAAAGTGCTAGATGCTGAGCCCCACGGCCACCTGCGGGGCCGAGGGCGGGCATCCAGGTGGGAAGACCCCGGAGGAGCGGAGTGTGCTTGGAGTGGGGGAGGGATGCGCAGATGGCCCCGTTTCGCCTTACAGGCCATTAAGCACGACTTGGACTCGATGCACACAGAAGAAAGGATGGCATTTGTTTGCACAGTGTCCTTGACACGTGTTTCAGCAGCACTTGGTGGAAACGCAATGACATAGATGAGAGATAACAGAATGTGGTTTATATTGGGAGTAAGTCCCTCGCAGCTGTGAACATTCTAGCTTCCTGATGGGGCATGTTGGCACATAGACAGCTCAAATCCAGCTGCTTCCAAATTCACCTTGGCCCCAAACAGGAAAACCTGATTAGCATCCTTTCCTATGTGCTCTGAGATAAATCAAATCCAAAAAACATCTACCGGGAATGTGGTACCAGGCCCCGGATCCAGGGCTGCTGAAGTGCAGAGTGATAGTTGGGCCCGTTGCTTCATTCACTCAACCAATACCTAGTTATTAAGGGCACACCTGCCAGGGACCTTGCTAGACACGGATGATAAAGATGTGAATAAAATCCACCTCTTCCCAGTTCTCAGAGCATTACCTTCTGGCAGGGCTCACCTCACTGGGAAGAGAGGAAACTCACACGCTCTCCTGGGGAAGGAGGGACAAAGGACCCTGGTAGGTGGACGAGGGTTTTGACGGCCATGCAGGAAGCCCAGAGCCACCCAGACCCTCCTTCCTGGGTGTTTGCTGGGAAGCCACCCAAGATGTGTGGCTTCTCGGGTGACGGACTGGATTATAAACCTCACCAGCCCAGGGGACCGAGTGGGCAACTGGAAATAAACTGTAACTCCCCCTCACTTTTATGCCATGAAAGCTTCACCTCTTTCCAACCCCTCCCTCATTCACGGGGGGCTCAGCAATTTCTCCCTGGGCTGGCAAATTGCCATTCCCCCCAACACTGCAGGACCCCAGCGGGGAGCCAGGGAAGGCTTGTGAAGAGGGGGAAGAAAAGATTGGAGGTGTCCCTAAAATGAACGCACTGACAGGGAACAGAGTGAAATTGGAATTAAGGAATATAATTGAGAGCCATGTTGGACAGATACTTTATTTATCTGTCTATCATCTATCTATGTATGTATCATTATCTATCTATCTATCTATCAATCTATCATCTATTATATCTATCATCTATCTATCTTCTATCTTACTGGTGGCAGTCCTTCCTTATTTTGGGGCAGCAGCTACTCAGATTTATTTCTGGGGAACTATCCCTTCCACTCTTTCATTATGATTTGGATGGGGCTGGGGTCAGTGTTTTTGTAACAAGTCATACCCATTGAGCTATGTCGATTGGATGAATGGGTGGATGAAAGGACCGATGGCTAGATGGATAAATGGTTTGATGGATAGATTGATGGATAGAAGGATGGATGGATAGAGGGATGGCTGGCTGGATGACTGCAGATTTTCTGTCTCTTCGTTCTTTGAACAAAGATTTACGGAGTACGGAGTCTGCTTTGTGACTGGCAGGCGCTGTCTCTGGAGTCGCAGTGGTCGTGGACAGGTGAGGTACAGGGGCCACGTCACTTTCCCAGCAGCTCCTGCAAGGGGCTGGAACCAGCCTGTTCCTGAAAGCAGGTGCTGGTGGGGCAAAAGCTGGGGTGAGAGGACGCCCTGAAAGAAGGTGCCGGGTGGAAGGGCACGGGAGACCCAGGCCAGAGCTGGCCGGCCAGCTGCCATAGGCCGTCTCCCTGGGGGCATCCCGGGTTCTCAGCCAGATGGGAGCGTGAGCTGCTTCCTGGGATGTGTCTGGAACCACCTCTTACTAACACAACCGACTGTTCTGAGCGTCTCACGTGGCATCAGAGGCCTGTGTGTGTGCACTTCGCCAGGGTAACCCCTGCCGCCCTCCCCCGTCGGGGCCCACAGATCCCGGCTCCACCATTTACGGCCCTAAATGAAAGGGTGGCTGCCAGCTGGCCTGGGCCTGGCTGCTCGCCTCTGCTACAGTGTGGCCCTTTTATGGCCGGCGGGGCAGCGGCTGAGTCTCCTCGGGAAGCCCCTGAAAGACAGTATTTACCGCCGGGAAACACCTCCACCACATGTTTGTTTGTTTGAGACACTCTGCGCCCAGCTCCCGGGCTCCTGGTTCTGGTCTCTGTCCCGGCTGTCTGGGCATTTCATGGCCTGGGCGGTGCGCTCTCCACATTTCCAAGGCTCCTCAGCGGCACAGAATGCGCTTTAAAACCCCGTTTGGGGTTTCCTCGTGGCACAGGGCCTCTGGCTCCGGGCTGTGGAGAGCGTTTCTCCTCCCGCGGCCACAGAGCCCCATTGACGGCTGGGACGCCCCATCCCTGCTCCTGAGGGACTCCGGGCTCCCCTGCCGGCAGCTCTCCCCTGAGGACTGAGAGCAGACGCGCCTGTGGGACTGTGCGCCTCAGGATGAGTGTTGACTTTATGTGGGGCAGCCATTGGGGACGTCCCTGCCTGGTCCAGATGCCGGAGCTTTGGGAGCTGAGTGTTATCACGGGAGCAGCCCCAGGGCCTCCCGATGACCCAGGAGGGCGGGGGGCGTGGTGGAAGGAGAGGCCTGGGCAATCCCGGGCTTGCAGATGGGAGGGTCTGGTCAAGGTCACCTGGTCCACACTTTGC